AAACAGAAAAAACAGACAGGATGAAAGCCTCTTTGCATGAAGCAAATATGACCTACTTGCAGAGACTCTTTCCATGCTAATTTTCTTGATTTGCCGTGGACTGCCCTACCCACTATCCTATAGCTCCAAGCTGACCTGTGATTTTGCACTTGGGTTTCTATCTGGGTGTGCACAAAAACAAAAGTCAAGGTTTTCTCAGGACAAGGGAAGCCGTGAAGTGTTGTTTCGGAGACCATAAATCTATACACAAGTGGCGTGGCCAGCCTTTTGTTGTTTGACAGCTTTCAGAAATGGCCGCCCGCTTTCTTGCTGGGATAAAAAGTAGGTCAGGTGGGGAGGGGGGCGTTTGCCTTCTCACAGACTTTCACAGCTTCTTTGGTAGGTCTTTGTAGCCTAATCTGTTGTTAAAAGTTTAAGGAATTCCTACTTGTTGCTCCCTGAAGGGCTGAGACTTGCAGGGATTGGTTTTCTGGCCGCCCAGCACCTGTCACGGAGATTGTCCTTGTTTTCGGGTTGGGAGGTGAATGCCCTGATAGCGGACAAGGTCATACTTGATCAGCCACGGAAGTTGCCAAGGTTTCGCCAAACCCAAGCCTCAACTTCTGTCTCAAAAACACCTGTGCAACGACAGTAACATCAGCTTATTTCGGTACCATAGACTAGACATGACTTCATTTTGCTCCAACATCAGATAAATTGAGATAAGCCACCAAACAAGCCTATATGGATGTTGCTGCTGAACAACAAAGCTATCAACTTTTTCAAGGAACTAGTAAAAAAAAGAAAACAGCAGCTGTTTCATGAAGGTTGAGTCCTTGCAGCCAGAGGAAAAGCAGATGATGCCGATGATGCTGAAAAAAAAGAAGAAAGCTGTATCAGAGATCAGAACTTGTTTGTCAGGTATTATGAGTCAGGAGATTGGAACTTTATATGAAACAATGCGATCAGGAAACCGGTCTTTTCCTGAGTTGTCTATGAAAGACTACATTATATGTACTGCCAAGCGAATGGCATGTGTTTTTAAAATCCAACCATGTAAGGGAGTCACTCTATATAGCTTGGCCAAAGTCCCTGGCATTTGGTCAAAACCTGTAGATTGTTCAGGGGTTTTTCTTTGGCATGTTCCCAGCTCGTATCCTAAGATGTACTACGTAGATAGAATCACGGATAATTTTTTTTACTCAGATAAACTGATTTGGCATTGGGAAAGTTTTTTTTATCTAGGCGGTAAGTAGTGAAAATTCTGCATGCCTTGCAAATGTGCTTTGCAGAGTCATCTCTAGCCTGGATGCCAGACCCAAAGCACACTGGACACAAAATATCTCAGTGTGCAAGAGATATTTTGTGTCCAGTGTGCTTTGGGTCTGGCATCCAGGCTAAGTCATCTCTTTTGTGGACTAAATCTCGACAAGGACTTTATAATGTGGGTTCTTGCAAACTGCTTGGCTCATGGTAAAATCTAGTTTTTGTGTCCATTTCATTTCAAACTTTCTGATATTTCTAAAAATAACCCTAAAACTGTGAAAGTGACTTGTGCTAAACAGAAGATCCGGTTTGGTGTGAGACTTGTACCCACACCGGCCAATCTTTATCCAGGAAACCTGTCTGGACATTTCTGGAAATTATTTCTGGCGTATCTTATTTCTAAGATACGTGTTAGAAAAGGGTTTGGGAAGGTGTGGTTCAAAGCCGTTTTGATATGCGCACTTCGATAACTGACGTTTCTCCAAAAATAAGTGGGATTACTTTACCAGGTCTATCCAATTCATCTTTTTACTGTCTCCAAATTGCAGAAATACAATACACTATTGAGCACTAGGCATGTTGTTACACAACTTTTGAATCATAATATTCTTGGTATAAGAAAACTTGAGAAATGTTAAGACGTGGAAGACAGGAAATTTAGCCAAGACGTGGTAGGTTGAAAGGGCAGCTTCAGGTGGGGACTGGTATGCACAGGTAACAGTGTCCAGTCCTTGAGACCTCTTTGATAACTGACGTTCTGGTTTTAAGTTACATCCCAACAGGCTTGGACAAAAGCAACTTAGATGTTTGTGTCCGGTTGTTGCATACCGGAATAATAGGCGCTCTTTGACCCTTGACACCCGAGCAAGGACGCAAGGGAAAAACACGCGGTTATCTCACCCTCCCCAGCCCACCTTGTAACGAAACATGGGATTTAGAGCGTTATCTGTCGTTAAATAGGTTTAACCCTTTCAGATACTTGAGCCTATCCTTTTCATCAGCAAGCAAATGACAAAGGTTTTAACTTTACCTGACCTTGGTTATCTGTTTAGAGAAAGGAAACATGAGACGAAGTCATTGACTTTGGTCTTGTTTAGAATATACTATTATGTCACCGCGAGAAACCGCTGTAAAAAAACTGTCCTTAAACACCTGTTTGTGCAGGTTTCTGTATACACAGGTGTAGTCAGGTGAAAATGACACCTCTGCGGACGAGACAGGAAATGAGAAGGTTCACAACACCTGGGCTGTTGTCCCTCAGGAAACTACCATGACTGGTCTGTGTATATAAAGATACATTACTGGTACATAAGTTGTTTTTGGAAACACCACAAACTGATGACTTGTTGTAAGGAATTATCCATCGGAAAACAAAATATAAGGTGCCCTACAGTTCGATTTTGAACAGACTACAGTACAAGGAGAAACAGTGAGAGGATAGCAAATGCTCTTTGCTTGTGTATGCCCCCCTCCCCCTTTGATAGGTGTTGTTTCATGTTTGTGTAAAAAGTGTGAGGAATATACTGCATCTAGTCAATGTCTTTGCACCATTGCCCATTGCTTCAAAGGTTTGGCATCTTATGTTTGATGCCGAATGTTGCTAGGGGTCTAACAACCTAAACAATACCTAATTTAAATGCATTTTCTGGTGTGATATTTGCATGTGCAAGTATTCTAGGTCACCAGGATAGTAAAATTGTCTCCCCAAATGTCGGTTCTAGCTTGCCCTGTGACCAAGTGTATTAAAATGTCATTTAAAAAACAGGTAAAAATGAATTGAGATGCATATTTGTCTAAACTGTTGTAGAGTGGAACTTGCTGCCACCAAGCACAGTAGGGACATCATCAGTAGATAGCTGTAAACAATGCCTGCAGTTAGATGTGCAAAGGTTAGGTGTAACAAGTCGTTCGGTGTGATATAGCAAGCTGCCGCCATACTGTGTGCCTGCAAAGCTGGTACTGGTGTTTCGCCGAAACTGGTGTTACGCCATCATCTCACTTTTGTTTGACATAACGTCATGTCAAGCGGTACAGGTGAGACAATCTTAGGGGGTGAAAATCTTAAAATATTGTCAATCTGAAAATCTATTAACTACATTTTGAGGGGCAAATTTTGCTGGTAGACTAAGCTTGAAGTTTAATGACATATTTCTATATCTCTACATGCCAAATTTACTATGTCAAAGATGTCTGTCCTAAGCAAGAAAATGCCATCAAATGACTGAAAGACAGACGCTGGCTAGGGCACTGGTTGAAACTGAGACTTTATTTGTGTGCTGGTATCCAGCCCTGCAAGATCGATGGAAGTTGAAACTTGAGGGGCTGCCTATAACGCCAAGAGGTGAAAGTCAAGGATAACTGTTGACACTGACGTCCAAAACCTGCACCGAAGCTCTTTCTGTGATCTGATTTCTATTAAAACCTTATTGTAGACTTTGTGGGAGTGGTGTGGCCTTCACGG